AGGGAAAGATATTTGAAATTATTTTTCTTGACTGATTTGCTCCATTAACAAAAAATTATTGCATGGTCACATTTATGCATACAAATATAGCTCTCAGCAAATTCAGCTCCAAGTTCACACCACAGGAAAAAGAATGTTCCAGAACATGCTAATGATAATTTAATATTTTAAAATTGCAAATCTGTGATCTGAAATTATAATATTATGGTCCCATTGTTCTGTGAGGCAATCAGAAATGGAGATTCTGAGAAAACATTTGCATAATAATTGCTGCTGTGCAGGTCTGGGCTCTGCATGCAGGTATTTGGGACCTGCAGTGTTTCCCTGCATAGACTGGAAGACAAGAGCTGATGTGAGCTGGTGTTTTGAAGGTTTATGTCTGTGCTCCTGCTGTAGAAGCTTTTAAATCTTCCTTTATGTTTTGCAAGTCACAGGGATTGCTTTGTCTGTTGATATTGGCCTGACCAGGACATTCCCTGTCTCTGCTTATCCTCACCCACTGGAGAGCTCCATCATGTCCAATGGCAGCGTGGACCCTGCCCGTGCTGCCTGCTGAGCCCCTGGTGGGAAGTCTCCTCCAGGCATCCCTCAACAACTTCAATAAAGATGCAAGTCCCCTGAAACCTTTCCTGTGGTATAAATATTGTTGGATAAGGATGTGCCCACTCGGTGCCTCTCTGGGGAGAAGCCCTGCTGGGCTTTCCCATGGGAAGCGGGGCAGCTCGCTGGGGTTCGGGAGGAAGGAGCAGGGGGGGCTTTGGGGCTGGTGACCAGTGTGGGTGCTGGGCAGGGTGGCCTGTATCCCTGTTCTGGCTGTGCTGAGGGTTCCTAGGGCTGGGGGCTCCTGGGGCTGGCTCTTGCTCTTGGAAACACTTGAGAGAGGAGAAAGGGGTCTGGATTCATGGAGTCCATATCTCTGTGTACGAGGAAAGCAGTAGAGTCCTTAATGCACAATTATTTGGTAATTTACCTGTGGGAGAAATTTCTTTCAAACCTTTGGCAAGTATCAGCTGGCTTATTTCCTAGAGAGCAAGGTTTTATAATGCTTATATATTTTATTCTTCTGGAAGTGTGCATTTCAGTCTGTGTGTCTGATCTCTTGTGATGCCATCCTGTCTCCACTCGCTGAACAAACCTGATCTTTTCAATCTCTCATGTGATGGGGATGGTCTGATAACAGATGTTGCTCTTCTCTCACCACCTTTATTCCCACTGTATCTTCAAGGGCTGCAGGCAGCAGGACTTGGCAGAGAGCAGCAAGGGTAGGACCCTTCTGCTGTTGCAGGCAGTTCTTGTAATTATTGCACAGTTCACTGCAGCTCGGTGGGGAGCTCTGAAACCTCCACGAAATGCAAATGTTCCTCACTTGGGTTCTTTTCCTCTTTTCTCCTCCCGTGTTGGATACATGTATCAAGGGGATGGGAAAATCTCACTGCAGGTCGGTGTTGTGTGCACAGCAATAGAGCCTCTTGCTTTCTGTAACTTACTTTCTTCCTTTCTCTTCTCTTCCTTTGTTGTTTTGCAGAGTCGGAAACATGCCAGCAAAGTTCGCCTCTATTACATGCTTCACCCCCTAGATGGAGGCTGCCCAGCTAAAAAGCTTCGGTCAGAAAACGTGGGTATCATTTAAGTCCCTGTTTACTCAGCTGCTTGGTGAATGATTGACTCTGTGCTGCAACGTTTTTTTTCTGTCACAGCCACAGGTGATCAGGTATCCAGTGTAACATTTAGATTAGACTGAAATACCAAGTAATTTTCAACAAACTATACAGAAATATTATGTGCAGAAAGAGAAAGGGTAATTGTATCTTTAGTTATTCAAATGCTGTTTCATAAGAAAAAAATATGCTGATGGCAAATATTCAGCATTTATTCAGTTTAAGTGCATTGGCAGAGTCACCTCGGAGGTCTCTTCTGTCTCCTCCCACAGGTTTGTGGTCAGCCTGCAGTTTTAAAAACTGGCAATTGTTTTCCTCAGTTGCATTCAAATAAACAATTGAACATGAGGAAATTAGACCAGCTCACAGTCATTTGTCAGGCAATAAAAGGAGACTAGATTTATAAGGGACTGATTCACAGTGAATTATTCATTCAGCTCTTTCCCCTGCTCTGGGGCTAGTGTGAGCACTGTTGCTGAGGTTCCCAGCAAACAGCATCCAAATCATTTCAGATCTGTGGGACTGTGGCTGTGGTTCAGTGCTATCAATATTTAGTGAGATATCTTCTAATTAAAGGGAGAAGCATGCAAGTTTTGCCAAAGGAATCTGAAAGATCCTTCACACAGGAATTAAAATTATAGTGGAACTTTAATGTTGCACACAGGGTAATTAAAGATGCAATCTACCCCTTAACAACAGAATCTCACAGTCTTTTTATTGCCTTATTAATTGCAGAATGTGAAAGGTACAGTGGACATGCACATAGAGACCTGGAACACGGTTCTCTAATGAGCTTCATTACATCTAACTAGAGCACATGTGGCTGCAGGTACATCCTGGTGCAGGGCACAGTGGACAGGGAACCAAACAGAGCCCAGATAAGTCAAAGCTGAACTGCTTCCTACTTATTTTGTGAAAGGCAGCAAGGAGAGGTAATGTAATTCTGTGTTTGCTGAGGCTTGATTCTGCCAAGGGCAGCCCTTAGCAGGGGACAAATTAACAAGTCCTCATGCACTGGGTGAACGAGAGGCTATGCAAGACCTAAATTCTAAAATTATGTTATAAAAATACAGCATGGAAAATCTGCCAACATTTACAGCTCCAAGCAGGTCTATTGCTGATCAGATATTATCCAAGGCTTTGCATTTAGAGAGAACAGCAATATTCAGCACATCCCCAGTGCTGCATGGCAACCTCTCAGCCACGTCCAGCCTGGGGCACTTGGTGCAGGGACACGACTGGGAACAATCTGTGACAAACAATTACATTTCTGTGTAGAAACATCTGCAACTAAAAATGGAATATTAGCGCTTTTTAATTTTTTTTTAAATTTTTTTTGGTCAAAGCTTGCAGGGTTCCATGGCTGGACACCATTTGATTTGTGTCCTTTTGACCTCAGTCCTCAGCACCCTGTCTCTCCAACGGCAGAGGGAAGGAGAAGCTGCTGCAGTTGTAGCTGCTCAACACAACCAGCTTAGAAACACCATTTGGTGCCTGACCTTTCCAGGAGGCACAGGGTAGTGTTTGCTGTTATTTGAGGACTATAAAAATACTCTGCACTCCCAAAACACCCATTAGCCTTTCATAGTAAGAAGTAGGAGGCTTATACAATTAGTCTGGCACTGGATAACGAGGCAGTTGTTGGGCTGCTCATTATTGTTCTAATTTTTTTGTGGGGGAAGGGAAAAGTCTCCTGTCTTTGGTGTGCTAAGGGATTGTTGACCTTTCCTTTCAAATATCCGCTTAACATTTCAGCTGAAAGTAACCTGAGAAGGCTGCAGCCTGTGTCAGCACCCTGCTGAAATCAGGAGTCCTATCCTTAAGCCCAGGGTTGGTGGATTGATTTAATCAGCCTGTTCTCACTACCTATAAAAAATAAGACCCCATTGATGATGAAAAGTTCTGATATGCTACAAAACACATTTTCCCCTTCAAATTCTTTCTAGCCCTCTTTGTACTATAAGACAGTAAATTACTTTAACCAGCATCATCTTCCTTGAGAAAGAAAGGAGTCATAATAGCAAAGATAAACATTTGAGGGAAGAAGGCAGGATATGAGGCTTGTTGCTGAGTGTAACGTGTGTCCTGCAAGGCAGTGCTGGAGGTGGTTGAGGCACAAGCTCTGCCTCTCTGGGGCAGAAGTGGTGCCCTGGGAGGCTTCAGTCCCCAGTGAGCAAGGAAATCAGTTTTTGTAGCTTCTGGTGCACGATTTATTGCATGCTGCAACTTAAACCTTTGGCAATTACACTGAAACTGAGATGAAATGTCTGGGTTTAGAGCTCGTGTTCTTACTGTGTGTTTTGTACCTGATCAGAGTTTTTCAGCCAAGAGGTCAGATGTTGGTTTAAATGAAAGGAATTTGTGATGGAAGACTGGAATTTGTTCTCTGATGGAAGGCTGGGACTGGCTGGGAGCTGTTGTGAGGGTGTGGAAAATTAACTCAGATTTGAAACTTTGCAGTGCTTTGAGTACTATATTTTGTATTGCTATATTTCAAAGGTTTGTATAAGCTTTACTTCTTAGTAAAACCTAGGAAATGAAGGCAGCAGATTTGTATCTGCAGAATAAAAGTCCTTAATTTTCCTGAGGATTGCTTAAGAAACATCCAGCAAAGGATGGCAACTGCCTGGCTCTGTGTGAGGATTATGCCTTTTAGCAGCTTGTTAACAGGCATCTGAATAAATGAAGTTAATTCTGTTGGATGTGCAAGGCTTGCTTTGAAGTTTATAATATTACAAAGAGAAGCCCTATAAATTAGGCTGGTGTGGCATGGCTACAGAGTTAAGGGGAAGATGAGTGATGGCAGCATTGGAAAGTGGATGTTTTATCCCTGAGACTGTGGAAGGTTCTGATGTAACTCGGTTTACATGAGGCCATTCGCTCCTGTCGATGCTGCACCTCTGAAAAAGTCAGCGAGAAGGGATCGTCTGGAGGTGGCTGCAGAAACTAATGTTAGAAAATTTCCTTGCACATTGGCTGGGTTTATGCAGCATGGGGTTAGAGAGCTGCTCGTGTGGGTTTTGTGGAAACTAAATCGAGATGATAGTGCCTATTTACTGTTGCTGCAGACAGAGCTGGGTGTAGGAGCAAGGGAAGTGGTGAGGAGAGAGGGATGAGTGCACCTGTGGGTGCAGAACATCACTGGAGGTGAGTGCACAGAGGGATGCTCTGCACCCCTGGGGATGGATGGGTGCACAGAGGGGTGCAGAGCATCCCTGGAGAGTGGGCTGTGGGTCAGCTAAGCCCTGTGCTGTGGCTCAGGCTGGGCTGCCCCCCAGTCTCATGCTGGGCTCCCCCCCCGTCTCACCTGGACATCCTGATGGACACCAGGTGTTATTTTACCAGCTGCCTGCACAATCCTGTCACCAGGAGTCGTTCACCGGGTGGCAAAGTACACCCGGATCAGGTTCCTCCAGCCCATCCAGTTACAGGTAAAACAGCCACTGACAAATGAGAAGGCATAATTATCCCATAATTACCCTTCAGGGCTGGGCTTGGCTTCCAGTGTCTGGGCAGCTTGGAACAGGGTGTTTGGGTGATGGAGAGGGCAGGGGGGCAGCTCTGCTGGGGGTGCTGCAGACTTTGGTAGATGCTTTGTAACACTCAAGCCTATTTTGCTGTGTGCTGGGGCTCTCAGAGGGACCAGGACTTTGAGGACACCCCTGTCCTGCAGGCAAGTGCCCATCTGGTGGCCAGGTCCCAGCCAGGCTTTGAGGCACTTGCCTGGAGACCTGGGTGAACTTGGAAAAGCTGCACAGCAAACTGTGGCTTGGTGGGCATGAGAGCTTGGGCTGTAAATGAGGGGTCTGAGGGCGGTTGTCTTTTTAAATTTTTATTTTTGAGCTGTATTTTATCCCTGAAAGTAGGTTGGAAAGGAAAAGCTGTCACTGAGGAGCAGACCAGGCAGAGGAAGAGACCCTGGTGTGTAAACACTGAAGTGTATCAGCTTTTCAAACAAGCTCTGTTGGAGGCTCTTTATATGTTGCCACCGCTAATGATCAATAGAGTCTGGAAATTTTTTTACTCTGCTCTTAACTTTCAAGTGATTTCCCTTTGAAGATACTTTATATCTTGAGAGACATATATTTAAAAGAAGTGCAAATTACACTCAGAACAGTACTTATCACCCCCTGAGATTTCTCCCTAAGGTTTAAGTTGATTTATAGTTAACAACAACAACAAAAAAAATGATGAAAATCACTCCTTTTTCTAATTGTGCTTATTTTGGGGGAGAAAATGACCTTAAATAGTGGGTTGGGTGCTGAATGTGGTTGGTTTACTCCCCTGGGTATCACAGAGCCCTCTCCTGCCCCTTGGCTGCTGGGGAGCTCAGAGACATCTCCAGGGCTTGCGGTGCTGGCTCAGCCTGGGGTGTTCTTGGTGTTTGGGGGGCTTGGGCAGTGTCCTGGTTTCCAGCTGAGCTGCAGTTTGGTGAGCACAGGGACACAGTCCTGAGGGCTGGTCCTGTGCCCCCCTGGCCACCTGAAGCTTTGCACAGGGATGACCTGAGGAATGTGTTTACAGCTTGTTCTGAAACTGAGGTTGCAGTTTCTAGAGCAGACTGTTTTCTGTTCTGGCTGTACACCAGAATACTTGCTTTAAGAAGGCAGAGTGCAGGGCTGTCTCCAGATGGCTTGTCATGGAGGGAGTTCTGCCCTGGCACGGGAGGCAGCTCTGACCAGCTTGTCCAGGGAGGAGCTGGGATGATAACCCCCCGATGCTGTGGGTCATGCCCTGGCTTTAGAAAGGTCTTCCTCTGCACAGAGGAATGTTTTCAAAAGAGATCACTTATAAATGGTGCTCAGTAGCCAGCACAAGATCCTGTGATGTCTGGAAATGTGAGACCATGTGTATGTGACCCTAATGCGATTCCCATTATTCCTATGGATTGAAAAATGAATTGTGACTAATAGTGCAAATGTGCTTCTTCCCCTGCTTGTTCATGGCTTACATTTACCCCTCTGTGTCTGGTGACAGAGCCAGCACCAAATTCATGCAACTCCATCAGCCAGGGAGCAGGAATGAAGGCTAAGGGAAAGCAGGGGTGAGGGATGAGTCCTGGGAACGGGAAGCGAGGGGCCAAGCTCCTGCTGCAGGGGAGAGTGGAGAACCTGGGGGGTGGGAGCCATCTGGGCTGAGCAGGGCTGGGACCAGGCAGGAGCGGGTCTGGGGGGGACATGGAAGGAACCTGGGAATCATGGCCCTGGCATAACAACCTGGATTCCCCTCTTCCTTCTCTGTGGCTGCCCCTGCTGGGCTGATGAACCTTTTTTAAAAGTCTGTGTTTTTGTCCCCACCCAGGGCAGCGACGGTGACTCGGTGGATAAGAACAAATGCTGCACACTCTGTAACATGTCCTTCACCTCGGCGGTGGTGGCCGAATCGCATTACCAAGGGAAAATCCACGCCAAAAGGTTAAAACTGTTGCTAGGGGAACAACCATCGTTAAAGGCCACAGGTAAGTCCAGAGCTGGGGCAGGAGGGGGCACGGGTGCTGGGGAGAAGGGATGTCTGGGGGATGGAGGCTGGCAGAAGCAGCTTCTTCTTTGTGTTGCTGTCATAACAACCTTTAAAAGTTGCTGATGCTTATTATCATCTGCTTTGTTCACGTACATCTGTGCTTGATCAGCCAGGCTGGCCTTTGCACCAAGGATCTATCCCTGGCTCCATGCTGCTGAAATGTTTTGCGGGGTGGAAGACAATCTCTCCTCTGGGCACTAATAACCAAGCCTCACTTTAATTATCAGAAGTTGTTTGACAGCTCAGCTAATACATTTAATAAACCTTTCCTGTCACTGTACGGAATGAAATATCATTTGCATTTACCTTAGAGGGAAATCTAGTCCTTAAAAACTGTTGGATTGATTGTCTTTAGATTTTTGCCCAGATGGGCATTCATACTTTCCTCCATGGTGATTCCAATAATACAAGACTATTAACTTTCACATTTTAAAAAATTAAATGTTGCAATCGGGTAATTTAACCATCTTATTGTTTGCTTAATGATAAAGTCCCTACAAGCCACTAATATGCTGCAAAACAAAACTTCCTCTGTGCTCGTCGGGCCAGAGCACATTCAAACAAAGTGTTCTTCATGCTGACCAGGCAGGATAACTGGGCTGTGGTCCTGCAGGCAGAAGTTTCAATAGTATTTCAGCTGTGCCCAGTGACAGAACAAGGGGCAATGGGAACAAACTGGTAAACAGGAGGTTTAACCTAAGTATAAGATAATTCTTCTTTACTTTGAGGGTAACAGAGCCCTGGGACAGGCTGCCCAGGGAGGCTCTGGAGTCTCTAACCCGGGAGACATTCCAAAATTGCCTGGGTGTGTTCCTGTGGGATCTGCTCCAGGGGATCCTGCTCTAGTAGGGGGGTTGGTCTGGATGACCTCCAGAGGTCCCTTCCAGCCCCACCATTCTGTGATTCTGTGATTATTCCCAGTAGCACTTCAGTCAGAAGAGAAGGTGAATTTTGCTGTGTATTTTACATCCTGCCTGATACCATGTGCATAAATCCTAGCCATGCTTAACTAAGGGGGGGTTGGCTCTCTGCCTGTATTTTGCTGCTTTTTTAACTTTGCAGAGTGTAGGTGCTGATGCATGGGCTGCCCCTTGTCTGTTGCCAGAACCACTTTAGATGGTGGCTGATCCCACTCGTTTTAAGGAGCGAGTGGCCCCGCCTGCTCTGAGGGTAGTGGGCTCTTCAGCTCTGGTAATTGCTGGGAAAGAGCAGCTCCAGGACCCTGCAGCTCTCCTGGACACTCCATCTGATGAGGCTGAGTGGCAGCAACACATTAGTGAGCACCTCCTTGCTTTCCAGCAGTTCTCAGAAATGTGCCCTTTGGACACCCTGTGTTTCTGGGCTTCCTGCAGAGTCACTTGGCTTTTCTGCTGGGTTTTTCTCCCAGTCCTTCACAGCTGGCACCAGGGAGAGTTTGGTTTGTCTGACAGAGGTTCAGGGGCTCCAGTGCTAACTTGCAGCAATAAAGAGGTACTGATAATTACTGATGTGTTGCTGCCCATGGGTCCAACCCCTCTTGCTAGTCTGGGGACCTGGGAGTTTGTCCTGTGACCAAGGAGCAGGAGCTGGTGGTCTGGGAATTGGTTTGAGAGAGATCACAGTGCTGTTCTGACCATAGCACCATGACCCTTCCAATGGTTACATGGGTTGAATGCTTTGTTTGGTGTTTCCCTAGTCATGTGTGAGCAAAACAAGTGAGAAAGACTCTATACAAATATTTGAACTATCATAATATTTGGATATAAAAAAAAACAACACAAACAAACTTTAAATGTTTTAAAAGTTCCCCAAGTGCTGTTATCATGGCCGAGACTAAACATATACAGTTTATCTGAAAAGGTGTTCTAGTGGCAACTGACAAGTAAAAATAGGTAATAATCTCTGGATTGCCCTGTCTTATTTTCAGCCTTGCACAAAAATTTATTCTGCCACTTTGAATTGTTGCAAAATTCTGTATTGGACATTTCCTTAATGAGTGGGTCTGTGTGGAGAGGGAAGAAGCAACTGGTGAAGTTGTTGCCCAGCTGTCCTTGCTGGAGTCACATCGCTCACACAGATGTGCAGTTGCCTCTGTGGAGTTCAGCATGTCTTTGAATTGCACAGTAACAAAATGAGCTTAGGGGACAAAATGAAGACTAATGAATGCAGCTGAAACTGCAGGGGAAATTTAGGAGGAATTCTTGAGTTGTTTGACAAGCAGCATTTTCCAGTTTAAAAAATAGAAAGCATAGAAAAATCTGTAATATTCTTGGAGAAGGTGAAAATTTGAAAAAATGTTCATAACTGGAATTCTGTTCCTGGTCATGGTTTCAAGAGGTCTTGGCTCTGGAACATGCTGGGCTGTGAGGCTGCCATGCGACCTGGAGCTGCTGCTGGTGGCCAGACCCTTCCCAAGGGTCCTGCTGCCAAGTAGCTCCTCTCTGGACACAGTGGCTGCATGCCAGCTCCCATCCCTTTCCAGCTGGGATGTGGCAGAGGGAGGGTTTCTCCTGCCCCCGGGGTGTCTGCTGCCCAGCACCCTTCCCACAGCAGAGCCATGCTTTGTACCACCCCCAGAGCTTCCCTGTGCCTGAGGTGGGAAGTTTGTCTCCTCTTTACAAGGCTCAGAGCTCCGGTGGCTCTGCTGGTGCTGTCAGGAGAGAGGGAAGTCCCCAACAGCCACGTTTGTCCCAGTGGGAAGGTGATGTCTCATCCCTACAGTGAATATTTGTGATCTCCTCTGTTGCTCCCACAACCATAAGGTTGTGGCCCTGCCAGGCTTCATGTCCACACTTGCTGATGGATTTCCCTGTTCATCTCCAACATCTTCTGCCAGCCTGCACCCCATCAGCAGTGAGTTACAGCACAAAGAGTTGGGGGGAGAAGGCCCCAGTGCCATGTCAGAGGGTGGAGGTGGCCATTCAGAACTGCTGCTGCCAGGGGAGCACTCGAGGTGAGGGATAAGGATGTGATTTTTCTGGCAGGAAAAGTTACCTTGGCTTTTTTACCTGCTGATTCTCTGGTTCCTGGTATGGGGTTTGTGTTTCACATACGCTGAAGGGCGCATGGTCAGTGGTTTCGGGTTTGGGTGCCTGGATCTTTCCAGCAGCAGTTGGAGTCCACCTTTGTCTCAGATTTTTCTGAAGAAAACTGAATTTCTCCAGTGACCTGTTGTTGTGGCTGTTACTTTCTCTTGCTCAGTTCCTGGACAGTGGCAATGGTAAGAAGCTGGGTGCCATTTAAATACAGCTATGAATAAGAAGTTTTGCATGCGAGAAATAAGTCAAACATTAGTTCATTGCCAGAGTGCTAAAGTGTTTCTAACTTTGTATTTTGCTTCTTGCAGCAAAGTAAGACTTTCTCACTTCCCTCCCACAGCAAAAGGGAACGAAAGGCAGACTGTCATGAGCTTTTAGCATTTTTAAATACTTGAAATAGTCAAAGTAGCAGCTTTTATGTTTGTGGTTTAGATGGAGAAACATTTTTAACATTTGACGTTTTGTGAGTGTTTATTATTAATTTTTGTGTCGCTGCTCAGGGAATGATGATATTTGCTGTTCTGTTGTGGTTAGGCAGTGCACATCAAAATGATAAATCCACACTCGGGGAGAAGTCAACTTTAATCTCTTTCTCTTCAGGAGGATTGGGAAGACACGGAATGTTTTTGTTATTTGCCAGGCTGGGTTCAGCACGCCCTAGGACTAGCAGCAGCTGGAAATGGAACCTGAGGAATGTGGCTGTACAGGGAAGGATTTTTATCGTAGGTGCTAAGAGAAGATCCCTGCCTCATGGCTGGTGTTGGGCCTGTGCAGGGTCTGTGCTGTGGGGCAGCAGCCCATGGGCCAGGGGCAGCCCATGGGCTGTGGTGGGCCTTGAAGAGGGCATGAGGGGCTCTGGTGCTGGTCCCCTGGCAGCATCACTTCTGAGCTGCCTTTGGAGGAGCTCAAGGCACCAGGCTCCCCAGGGGGGCTCAGCTGCAGGGTTGGTGGGTGGCTGAGCAGCAGAGGATGCTTCAGTTTGTTTAGAGAGCAGGAGAGATAACTCCTGTGGACACCATCAGCACTGGGAGCCTCGGCCTCCCTGGCTCCCTTCTGGCAGCAGCTGACATGGAGCCAAAGAGAAAGCTAACCAGAAGATCTGATAGCCTGGGGCCTGGAGAGCAGCAAGTCAAATGTACCATGGCGCTCCTGGACTGCTGTAACAACTGGTTGTTTATGCTGGTCCAGATGCCTGAACATCTCTGCAGAGCAGTCCCAGAGCCTGGCCATGCCTGGGAGCTGCTCAGCCCTGTCCAGGGAGCTGGTCCCAGTGTGATGGTCAGAGTGGGCACATCCCTGCATTGGGCAGTTCCTGGCACCGGCGCTTTGCTCCCTGGGGAGCTGCAAAAGTATGTCAGGAATAGGTGAGTGGTGTTTGGTTGCCCCAAGTCAGATATCTGCACAGTCTGCATGACCTTCGTTTGGACAGGCAATACTCTTAGCTCCTAATTTTCTGTGTAATGAGCGTGTGTCAGCCCTGGCTCTGCTCGTTGGTGTCCCTGCACTTCTGCTTGTGTTCAGGGCGCCTCGGGGGAACTGGGGGAGCATCTCTTGTGCTGGAACTGTTGATGTTAGAAAAGTTGTTTTCAGGAGCAAAATAGAGCAGGGTCCTGCCTGAGCCCAGTCTGCAGCCTGCCAGCTCTGCTGGGAGCAGCTTTTCAGGACTTGCATGGGTGCAAGGGACATTAGGGGCTGGGGCAAAGGACAATATTTTCCTTGCTGGCATTGTGTTTGTTTTGTGAACTGTTTGTAGGATGGTTAGGTGGGGCCAGGCAGAGTTTGGGCAGAGGAATCCTCTGGTGAGGTGAAATGAATCCAAACAAGCAGGTGGTTTGTGAGACAGCAGAACCTTCCATAGGAGCCCGTTGTGGCACTGCTTTGTTAACTACTGCCCAGGAGAGCCCGTCTGGCTGGTGCTGGGCAGGGCACTAGTGACAGCAGGAGTGGTGAAACACTTCTGCAGATGTTCCTCCAGCAGCCTGGCCAGGAGGGTGATGGCCCCTCAACCTGCCCAGGCTACAAAGCTCAGATACCTGGGCAGTTGTCAAAAAGAACTGAAGCTTTTAAACCCTTGGAAATCAGTAAGGTTGTGAGTAATGTCATATGTAAGATACAATTTCCCTGAGGAAAGTTAACAGACTGAGCAGGACAGCAGAAGATTTATAGCTTTAAATTTCTTGAGGTGTGGAGTCAGTCACAGTGGGCTTCAGTCATAATTAAATGTCTGAAAATATCCCTGTTTGCTCACAGCTGCTGTTCCCAGTGTTGGACCCCGAGGTGGGTTCATCACCTGCCAGTCCCTGCTCAGCTGGGGCAGGATGGAGCCTCGGGATCAAGGAGCTCCTCTGCCACCCAGAGCCCTGCCTGCTCTCCCCAAGAGACAGGGTTGTTAATTATTTAGATTGCAGACATTTCATCTGGAAAAGAAAAGAAAAACCACATAAAAGGGAATTTTTGAATGAGGTGTGATAATGAAGTGCTAGTCGTTGTATATTTTTGTGTCCCAGCCTTATCTGAACTTTATTTTACTTTAAACTGTTTTTCTGTGGCTTTGTGACTTAAGCTGTACAGAGCAGGAAAACTGGCAAACAAGGTGCAGCTCCATGATGTAAAGACTAATCATCTGGGTTGGTTTGTTGTTGTTTTTTTTTTTCAATTATTTGGGGACCACGTTTGTGTTCTTGGTGAATCTGAAGGGAAATGGGATGAAATTAAAGTCGTGGGCAGCTTCAGTTCACAGTGGGCAGGTATTTGAATGAGCAGACTGTATTTTTTTCATCAGGGACACTTCACAATTAGTACAGCTTTCCCTGTGCTTTCCAAGACCAAATAAATTGCAAAATAAGACTCCTGAGATAATGAAGAATCTGCCTGTCTTGAGAAACAGATGCCTGAGCATGTTTTATTTATTGTGCACCGGCATTTTTCTTGGAAGTAGCACTGGAAGCAGCACAAGCTTAGCAGGTTTAGTCACAGCCGTGTAACTGCAGTGAGAGCATCCTCCTTTCCCAGCTCGTGAAATTCAGAGAGTTGGGAAAGAGCCCTGTGCTATCCTTTCGTGCTGCTTTTTTTTTAAAGGGAAACGGTCGATTTCCGAGCAGTACCATCCAAAATATCCAGTGGGACCCTGTAACTGCTGCTAATTATTCCCGGTGTCTAATGTGGGATCTGCCTCAGGGTCTGCTGTTACTCAGACAGCAACACCAGCCTGGAAGAGCTGATGTCTGCACGTTTCCCGTTCCAGAAGCCACCCTGAGCTCCCTGAAGCAGCCGCACACGGACAGTCCCCCGGCGGTGCCGTCCCCGCCGCAGCGGCGAGACTCGGACCGGTACTGCCAGCTCTGCGCTGCCTGGTTCAACAACCCCCTGATGGCGCAGCAGCACTACGACGGCAAGAAGCACAAGAAGAACGCGGCCAGGGCCGACCTCCTGGAGCAGCTGGGGAAGACCCTGGACCTGGGAGAGCTGAGAGGTGAGAGGTGAGAGCCTCGGGGCATCCCGGGG